AGATGTGTCAGCTGGAGGGAGGGACTTGTTGCAGGGTGGGCAGGGCAGATGTTGGGGAAAGTGAACTATAGGCTTTGAGTTGGGAATGTGGGAACGGGATGAAGTCTGGGGGAGGCTGAGAGCATGAGAACCCGCTGTGGGAGTTGGGATTTTTTCCATTTAGGGGCTAGGACTTGGTTAGGGCTGACTGATTGCTCAGAGGGATAATGTCCTCCTCCTCCTTCTTTTCTTTCCAGTAGTGAACCAGATGTCCCTAAGCCGCCTCCATCCCCTGTTACCCATACACCTAAGGAGGGAGAGATACCACCAGTACCTGCAACTCTCCCCGCTCCTTGTGCTGTTCTTTCCTCGCTGGCTTCTCCAGCTGCTCTAACATCAGATGCTGAGGTACAGCTGGATCTCAGAAGGACCCCTCAGGCCTCTGTAGAACTGCAAATAACCGAGTCTCTGGACAGGTAACCTGATGGCTGAGACAGAGAGGGCCGGGGTGCCCTGGGATGTGTCACTCTTGAGGTGCTTGGCTGCTTCTTTGCTACCCATAGACCTGGGAGTCAGGCCCAGTCCGATCCGAACCCGACCTGGGATGAAGACACTGCCCAGATTGGGCTCAGGAGAATTAGGTAGGACTGGGGAGATCGGACTGTGGGGAGGGGAGAGGTCAGGAGTGAGGCAGAGCGCGCAGGAGTCCTGCTCCCATTCTCCCCACAGAAAAGCTGCTAAAAGAGAGCTGATGCCCTGCGACTTCCCTGGCTGTGGAAGGATCTTCTCCAACCGGCAGTATTTGAATGTGAGGGACACAAACCTAGGCCTGCGGGACCACTGGGGTTGCGGGTGGGGTGGAGAAAAAGACACTCCTGGGCTGAGGTGTAGATATAACTTAGATGTAGTGCAATTGTCTAGCATGTGCAAGGTAGCACACACAGCTTTTGGTATAGAGGGAAAGACCCATGCTCCACAGTAAGTAAGGGCTTCTGGCCCCAAGTATAGGGAGGATCAGAGAGATGGTGAGGTGTAGGTGGACAGGGTGGACCTGAGAAGGGCACCTGCAGGTCAGACTTGAGCCTCTTATGTGGGGGACTGCAGCAGCTGCTGCCATTAACTCTGGGAACAAAGGACTAGAGTGCGGAAGGCATCCAGGACTGCAGGAGCTAGGATGAGACTAGATCACATAAGAAGGACTTGCTCATTGGGAAGTTCAGTTCGAAGCACTATCTGCCAGGTGGGGGTGTAGCTCAGTGGTAGAGCACCGGCCTGTCATAACCCCAAACTGAAAAAAGAAAATAGAAAACAAGAACTCCCTCCCCCAAACCCAAAAGAACCCTTTTCCCTCAACAGTGCTTTACTTTGAGAGCCTATGAAGGCTGTGCATTTCAAAGCAGGTTTAGGAGAAAGCCCCACCTTGGTATGTATAAATAGCAGCAGCCAGAGACTGCAGCACATATCAGTGTAGGTCATCATATTCACCTAAACTACACTCTGTCTCTGACAGACAAGGCAAGGCAGATAAACCATGAGTGTCACTCAGAATGTCATTTTGTGCAGGCAACTCTGCGGCCATGGCAATAATGGTGTGTAAGGAAGTGAGTGGGTGGGCATCCAGAGGGAGCAGGTGAGGGCAGTCAGTGGTCAGGGTGGAAGGACATTTGTGCTACTTAGGGCATAGGTAATGTGGTGGCCCAGACAATGACAGAACTGTGTAGGAAACAAGGGTGGAAGAGGAGCCTACCTGCCCACCCAGCTCAAGTCAGTCTCCCTGCGGAGGCAGCCATCCTTTTGCCTCGTCTCGTCACCCATTCTTAGCATCACAAGAAGTACCAGCACATCCACCAGAAGTCATTCTGTTGCCCTGAGCCAGCTTGTGGCAAGTCCTTCAACTTTAAGAAGCACCTGAAGGAGCACGTGAAGCTGCACAGCGGTGAGTGCTGGACCCTTCAGCTCCCTGTGGAGGACGACATCCCTTCGTCCCTGTGTGCCATGAGCCCTTGCCTGCTTGAGACTGTTGGGAAATATCTACTCTAGTCAGGTAGGGCCATGAAGAGATAAGAAAGAAGGGGAGGATGGAGAGCAGGAAGGGCAAGTTGTTTCTGTGGTCAAAGCTTTGCAGCAAGACCTGAGTGAAGTGAGGAACGGAGGGCAGCACATGTGGGAAGCATCCATGTGTTCAGGATTGGAGAGGAGGCCTCGAAGGCCACAGTAAGGATTGATGTGGCTTCTACTTTGGGATGAGTCCACTGTGGGCTCTCCCAGGGTAGGGAGATAGCTGACTTTCAGAGATGACTACGTGGAGAATCTGGACTCTAGATGAGCTGTACACTGATGGTAACGGCTTGGGTTTGTCCCACATAGTTGGTGAGCGGTACCCGAGGCTCTCACAGGAGTGCAAAAGGGCTGTGTGAGAAAGATGGGTGAGCTGCAGGTGGGATTGGCAGGGGAGAGGGTGACTAAGAGGATTCTGGCCTGGGCAGCTGGGTAAGAGGTGATGATGAGTCCCTGAAGGCAAACAAGGGACTGGTGGGTAGGAATCTGGGTTAATATATGTTAATTAGATGTCAAGATGTAAGATGAGATTTACAGAATGAGCAGAAATCTGTCATGAGTATAAGGGTAGTGTTTGGAGCCTTGGGGCTGGAGTGTGCCTGCACAGGAGGGAGGCAAGTCTGACATCTGCCTTTGGAGCATAGGCCAGTGGGGAAGAAGGCAAAGAAAGTGGCAGTGCAGAATCTGCTCAGGGAAGGAGGGAGAAGAGGCTGACAAGCTGCAGGCCAAGGAAGGAGTGGGGCCTAGATAACAAGACAGTGTGACAAGAGCTGTGCTCTGGGGATGACACTAGAGTGTTGGAGAGCAGTTGCTCTCTTTGGACAGAAGCCATTGTAGAACTCATCAATAAAAGGAAAGACCGTGGGGAGGGTTGAGTATTTATGCCCAGTCTTACACAGGACAGGGGGTAGGTTTGGCTTGAGTAGGACTTTTACCACGCAAGTACTCTAAGGGACAGGACAGATTGGTAATGTGAAAGAAGGCCACAAAGACAGCCGTGAAAACAGCTGAGAGGGGCAGGGGCTATGAGAAGGTTGGAGGGATGATGGTGACCTGGAATCATCAGCTTGTCACACTGGACAAGGCGGGAGGACCTGGTTGGAGCTAGAAGGCTTGAAATGTTTGAGGTGGCACGGTGCTTGGGAGTGATGTCTGAGCAGAGCGGAGGATGAAATAAATGACGAGGGGACAAGGGTTCAGTACTGCTGTATGACAGCAGATAGAGGAGAGGATTTGAAGCCAGAGCTTGTGGGAGGCGCAGTGATGGAGGAAAGAGTCTGCAGGCGATGGCCAGGTCTTCAGAGAGCTGTGAGATAGTCGTAAGATGCAAGGATGTTTCTGCTGCAGGCATTTAGGTTTAGTGGCAGAGGAGAGGAACCACAAAAGCCTGAGGGCTGTTGATCAGTAACAATGGTGACACCAAGTGCTGCTGGAATTAGCAAGTTCAGTAAAAGGAAGACTGGCCACTTGTAGACATGGCACTGGGGATGGCAGGTACAACGTGCACCTGGAAGATTTCTGGTCCTGGGTATGTGCCTGCTACTTGGTACTTCCTATCCACACAGGCCTCCAGCTCTCCATTAATTACTCCTTTGACAAAGATGCAGCCCAAGGCCCCAGACAGGGGAGGCATGCCTGTGCCTAGGAGACAGTTGGAGCTGGGGCTTAAAGGTGACAGGAGTGCAGTTTTAGATGCTCCATTGTCTGTCTCACTTAGTTTTTAGGACCAGTCAAGTATTAGGACCCAAGACTCCTGAGCCCCAGTACTCACCTTCTGTTGGGGATGGTGGGCTAAAGCCTGAAGACAGGTGACTGAATGTCCCTTGTGTGCCTACAGATACCCGGGACTACATCTGTGAATTCTGTGCTCGCTCTTTCCGCACTAGCAGCAACCTTGTCATCCACAGAAGAATCCACACAGGAGAGAAGCCCCTGCAGTGAGTGCCAGGGGCCATGGAGGGAGCTGGTATCTGGCAGCCAGGAAGTGGGCAGCAGAACCTCCAGGGAGGTGAAGGTGGACCAAGGCTTCTGTCTCTGGCTGTAGGTGTGAGATATGTGGGTTCACTTGCCGTCAGAAGGCCTCTCTAAACTGGCACCGACGCAAGCATGCAGAAACTGCAGCTGCCCTGCGATTCCCCTGTGAGTTCTGTGGCAAACGCTTTGAGAAGCCAGACAGTGTGGCAGCTCACTGCAGCAAAAGCCACCCAACCCTGCTCTCTGCACAGGAGTCACCTGGCTCTTTGGAGTCTAGTCCCAGCATCTCTGTGGCTGAAACCCTACAATCTCCTGAGGGCGCTAGCCTCTCTTCCTCTTTTGACTCTAATTCTGCCCTCTCAGCAGCCAGCTCTTCACAACCTGGGCTGCCAGATCTCAGGGATGCAGAGAAAAGTCAGATGGTGGTCCCCAGGAGCTAGGTAGTGGAGTGAAGTTGAGGGTTGGGCACGATTGGGCTCCAGATACCTTGCTTTAGCATTCCTCAAGGAACAATAAATGGTATTTTATACAAATGTGGGCAGAACAAATGCTTTGGTGTTACAGAGTTAAGAATCTGAGAATCCTTTGAAAACAGGATGTTAGCTGTGCCAAAATGCAGCAGAAACTGATCCGCTAACATGCCCAATTTCTTTTGAGACCTTTCCTGTACAGTGTATCATCTGCCCTGGTCTGGGGGCAGGCAGCACTAGAAGGCATTTGCCTCAGGTTGGACCCTGCAGTCTGACCAGGTATGCAGTACCAAGGCCTACAGAGAAACAGCTGTTCAGAGTTAGAGTTAAGTTCACAGCTGAAGGTATGTTAGTGAGGCCACAGTCCCTGGGGAATTACCTCTGAAGAGTAATCGTGTTCCTGTATGCTTGCCCTGAAGTAAGTAGCCTCCCATGCCTTTCGGCTTTGCTTCAGGCTCACAGAATTGGAACCAGTTGACAATGGAATGACACTATTGAAACCACGAGCCAAAATAAATCTTTAAGTTGATTTTCTCGGGCATTTTGTCACAGAAATGAAGAAACCACCACCAAAAGGGATGAGAACTTGGAACTCATTTTGACAAAGGGGTTCTTGGTGTCACAAACCCAAACAAGTAACAATTCCACCACCTATAAGCAGTCATTGACCAATTCCAGGCTTTACATCCTGCCCTTGCCCAGGACTCCAGGGAACTTGTCTCCTCGTGCCTTGAAGCTTCATCTGTAAATATTTTGTTTCACATGGTGTCACTGAGCTTTATGGACCCACATCATGGGCTGCATCCCAAGGCAAACAATTACCTGGCTAGAGAAAACTGTCCTAAGAGCCATTTATTGGGGGAGGAGGAAATTACTTCTTTGTGTGTGCACATGGGCCATGGATGGTACATATGTGGGTTCCAGAGATCAAACTCAGGTTGTCAACTGGTGTTGAACCACTTTGTTGGGCCCTAAGAAGCATCTTGTGAAAGGACATATGGCTAGCCAGGCTACTGGCTACTTTTACCTCTTCAAGGGAGTAACTTGCCGCAGATTTTGGTTCTTTAATGAACGAAGCCATTCCAGTTTTCCATACTGCCTGTTTCACCTCTGCAGCTACATGTTTCAAGCAAGAGAAAGCAGTAGGGATAACAGATCAATAAGAAGCAAGAGATCTAAGTGACCAAATGTTTCCTGAAGAGCCACACCAACATCAGAGAGCGGAGTGGCAGCAACAGCACGAACACCTAGACTGTCCTGCATAGGGATGTGGTGTTGGTTCCCTGACTCCTAGTACTTAGAGCTGGGGAAGACGATGGAAGAGCTGGAGGGGATCTCGGTTTAGAGACAAGGCAAGCTAGATGAATACCTAGCCATCTGAGCTGCCCTGTTCCTTGGGGCTCAATGTGTGTCCACCCACTACCCTCATGGGGTCCTCTTAGCAAGTTTCCTGAAATGGAGACACCAAGAGCCCTGGTTTTTCCTGTTGCATTGGCCCTGTGAGGGCAAGGGGAGGACTTACTGTCACCTCAGTGACTACAGTGGTGGTGGTAGTGGCTGCCATGGCAGCTGCTCGAGCACGTCTGTGGGACCGCTGGTGTTGTGACAGTGACCGGCCGTGGCTAAAGAATTTGCCACACTCTGAGCACTCTGCTGTCCGCTCACCTAGGTGTGTCTTTCTGTGCAGTGCAAGTTTGGAGGCAACACTGAAGGACTTGCCACACTCTGGGCACTTGTGTGGTTTATGGCCAGCATGGTTGCGCAAATGCACATTGAGGTTGGAGATGCAGGTGAATCGCTTGCCACACAGCTCACAGTGGTAAGGTTTTTCCCCTGTGTGTGTGCGCAGGTGTTTGGTGAGGTCTGAGCGGTCTGTGAAGCCCCGGCCACACTCTGGGCACGGGAAGGGCCTCTCGCCCGTGTGGCTGCGCTGGTGCACCACAAGGTCATATCGCTGTCCAAAGCCCTTGCCACAAGTGGGGCACACATGTGGCCGTTCACCCTGGTGGCTGCGCTGGTGGCGCAGTAGTGTAGAGCTCTCGCTAAAGCAGCGTCCACAGTCGTTACACGCGTATGGCTTTTCCCCAGTGTGTGTTCGCTGGTGCCGCACCAGCGTGGCACTCTCCAAGAAGCCCTTGCCACACTCAGGGCACTTGAAAGGCTTCTCCCCTGAGTGCCTCTGGAGATGTCGTGTAAGCGTGGAACTCTTGCTGAAGTTCTTTCCACACACACCACATTGGTGGGCCTCAGCGCCAGGGTCGCTGAGACTGAGGACCACGTGGATACGGGAATGGTTCCGTAGCCCAGCACTGCTACGGAAGGCCCGTGGGCACTGTGTACAGTGGTGGAGAGTGCTAGGGGAAGGGGCAGTGGCAGTGGTGGTCTCCGGGGGGTGTGCCCGTGCCAGGTGAAAAGGAAGAGCACTCTGCCGAAAGGAACGGGCACACAGTGGGCAGCGGTGCGGCTTCTCTGGTGGGTGCTGACGGACCCGATGCAGCAGCAGTGCAGGGACGTGAGGGAAGCGGCGGCTGCAGAGGCGGCAACGGCAAGTGTGGCTACGCCTCCGGTGCGTCCCCAAGTGCAGGTCCAGCAGGCTGTTGTGACTGAAGCTCTGGCCGCACTCACTGCAGACGTAGAGGGTCTGGCCAGCATGGGTCCGCCTGTGCGCACGCAGATCTGAGGCTCGAGCACAACGTTCACCACACTCTAGACAGCGGAAACGCTTGTCACCACCATGCGCCCGTTCGTGCCGCAGCAGCACTGCACTGTACCGAAAACTCTTGCCACATTCACTGCAGGAATAAGGTCTTCCCCCAACCGCTGCCATGCCAGGTGCTGTGAACATGATGCCTGTCCTTCCAGTCAACAATCTGTGGTTTTAATACCTGGAAAGTACCAGAGGGAAAAAGGCTGTGGCCTTCAAAACTGGTCTGCAGATTCCTTGGTTTCTTCTTTCAAGAGCTGATGTCACGGCCATTCCAAAGGCAGGCAGGAACTGGACTCATCATTGCGATCCCTAAGTCCAGCACTGGCTGCAACAACGCTGGCTAGGGACATAGAAAAGGCACCTTGAACTCTTTAGGCCTGTAACATATTAGCTGGCCTAGCTCTCAAGAGAAGGAAGTCACTCGGAGTCCTAGAAATTCTGAGAGTAGAGCCAGGTAAGGCAAGAGGGGCAAATGACACTTGTCCAGTAAATAAGCATGTGTGGATTCCAAGGAGTGTGTGTGTGTGTGTGTGTGTGTGTGTGTGTGTGTGTGTGTGTGTGTGGTCTTTGCTAGAACTATAAACAGACAACACTGCTGGGGAGGCCAAGAGGGAAGTAAGTACGCAACCTACATTCTGGTGTGACTGAAGCCCCTGGGGATTTCTCATTGCCTGGCATTCTTCCTTGGTCATTTTCTAATGCATCCCAGTGGGGATTCCCTACCTACCAGAAAATAGGTGTGACACACTTGCTGATCGAATGGGTGACACAGCTACACTGATCATACACCATCCTGGTGTCTGGGGATAGTGACAGATCCCAGTCCCTGAGGGAGAAGTCACTAGTAAAGTCAACCAGTGAGAGATCAGTCAGTCTTTGTTTTTATAGGCATGGGACATCACACAACCTCTAGTAAGGTGTGCTCTTAGATCATGGAGAAAAAGCAAACAAAATGGCCAATAGTCATTCTCTTGTGGGAAATACCCAGCATTGTTGGCTTGGCTGAAGAACCTACTGACTGGGCCTCTACTTCTGTAGAGTAGAGTCAAGTGGATGAAATGCTTGGCCAACAAGAAGCCAGAGTGAACTCTACATCTGCTGCTCCTCCATGCTGGGTGGAGGATCACCATGGATATGTTCCTCTTGTGCGTTTTTTTTTTTTCCTGAAGGAAGGACTTTTTTCCTTCTTCAATTTTTGAGGCAGGGTCAATCTATGTAGTTGTGGCTGTCCTGATATGTAGACCAGGCTGGCCTTAGACTTAGAGATGCACCTGCCTCTGCTTCCCCAGTGCTGGGATTAAAAGGGCACATCACCACATACAGCAGGAGGAAGGTATTTCTTAAATAGTTATTTTCAAATATCAAAACTGGGGTTGGAGAGATGGCTCAGAGGTTAATAGTAATGACTACTTTTCCAGAGGTCCTGAGTTCAATTCCCAGCAATCACGAGGTGGCTCACAACCACCTGTAATCATATTTGGTGCCATCTTCAGGCCTGTAGGGACACATGCAGGAAGAATACTGTATACATAATAAATAAATCATTAAAAAAAAAAAAAGAGCAATTCCCAGCACCCACATGGTGACTCATAACTAACTATAGTGACATCTGGTGCCCTCCTCTGGCATGCAGGTAGAGCACTGTATAAATAAATCTTAAAAAACGAAATCAAAACTGAGGAATAGTGCCACATGTATTCATTTACTACTCATCTTACCTGTGATACACTTCACTTTTTATGTGTGTCCCTCCTGTCCTACCCCAATCTGGACTATTATAAACCCCAGGATACCTTATTCAAAGATGACTTTTAAGTCCTGCAAAGCAGGGGCACCTTTGTAGCCATAGAGCAAACTTCAGAGTAGTTAACTCTGAATCCTCCAGGGAGAGCTTTGCTTCTATTTTTAATTTAAATATTTATCTTATTTTTACTTATGTCTATGCATATGTCTCTGTGTAAGGATATGTGCATGAGAGTGCAGGTACCTACAGAGACTACAGGACATCAGATCCTGTGGAAATGGAGTGACTTCAAGTGGGTGCTAGAAACTGAACTTGGATCCCATGAAAAGAGCAGTATGTACTCTTAACTGCTGAGCCACCTCTCCAGCCCCTAATTTTATTTTTGATCCAGGGTCTCATGTTGCCTTGGCTGGCCTTGAACTCCCAGAGAACTGCCGGCTTCTACCTCCCAAATGCTGGTCATTTAAAGGAATAGTTGTCTTCATAAAACTAAACCCCAGTGTCTGGTTTCAAATGTACAAGAGCAATACTCTGACTCTGAGAGGCTGGCATCTCAGCTCATGCTTCTGTGAGCTCATCCTCTCCTAGGCCAGTGCTTCCCAGGGAACATGCCCAAGGAAGTAACCCTAATGCACAACACATATAAATATATAAAAGGCAAATAAAAAATATTCCATCTCTTCAGTATAACAGACAGCAGTGTAGGGTGTAAGATTGCTGCTTGGCCCTTTCACGTTTCTTCCTTACCTCATCCCATTACATGAGCAAAGGTCTGTTCCTGGGGTAGAAGCCTGTAAAAAAAATTATAATGCTTAGAACACTTAGAGATCATCCATCATCGATCTGAGAGTGAGATTTATTTATTTATTCAAATTTAGCTTCTTTATTGACTCTTTGGGAATTTCACATTTTGTACCCCAATTCTGCTCACCCCTCATATCCTCTCCTTACCCCTGCCAGGCCCCCACAAAACAAAATAAAAAGCAAATCAAGCAAACAAAAGTAAAACCAAAATTCTCCCCCAAAATCAAAACAGATCTCTTTGCTTCTCCTCCTTTTCAACATCTCTTCATTTGTCCTGGTGGCATTGGGGCTTCAGTGTGTCATCTTATACCCCTTTGTCCTGCCAGCTTTACTACAAATGTTCACTGCAATGAGTCACTGGTCTGGTTCAAGACCTTGGGCTTCTGGTACACTGTCATCACTGGATCCTCAACAGAACCCCACTGGGATATCCATAGAGACCCAGTTTTGGTGCTGCAACCTGAGGCAGCCACATGTCTATCAGAACCATTCCCACCTGAGTGGCCATTCCTTCTACCCAGAGCCAGGATGTTGTCCAGGCCCAGACTACAGCTAGGGACTGTGTTGATGTCTGTGGCCTGTCTCACCTCAGGAGACCTTAGGCACACACAAAGGGTATCAAATAAATGAAATTTGGCAAATGGATGTTTCATTTTGCAGAGTTTGGAAAATTTAAATGTGTACACCATACCACAGATACATATTCAGGATTTCAATGGAAAACTGCTTTAAGATCTGAAAAGGCCGATTCTGTAATTATACATCTATTAGAAGTCTTGGCCATCATGGGTATACCTGTATACATTAAGGCTGACAATGTTCCAGCAGATGTCTCTAGTAAAATAAAACAGTATTTCTGCATATTATAACATAAAGCATGTTATAGGTATACCCCAAAATCCTACAGGGCAAGCAGTTATAGTAAGATATAATTGCACTCTAAAAGATATGCTTAATAAAAAGAAAGGGGTAATTAAGATCCTCCAGAGATAGATTGTACGACACTTTATTAACTTTAAAAATTTTAAATGCTAATGAGAAAGGAAAGACAGCTGTGGAGAGATACTGGATAATAGAAAATAATGCTGAATTAAATCAACCTGTATACTTTAAGGATATGTTGACCTCAGAATGGAGACCAGGATATGTGTTAAGTTGGGGAAGAGGTTTTGCTTCTGTTTACACAGAAGAAAAACTATGGATACCATCAAAATTGACAAAGATTAGATACGAACTGAAGAGAGCTTTTGCTTAGAAGAGGCAATAGATACTTCTTCAGTGTGAACAGTCTACCAGAACTAACTTATATGGCTAACAGATGATATTAGGTATTTTTCAAGGTCAGAGATATATTTTAGGTAGACAGGTGGTCTTCAAACACTTCAGAGATCTACAGAATATGGCATTTAAGATGTTTTAATAAAATAGTTCTTTAAATGACAGTAAGACACATCTGCTTCTGGCAGCACCAGTCAACTTCAGAGAAAATGATGTGGATTGAAAAAACTCCAGATGGAGCTTCTTTTCCTTGTGGCAAAATTTGTTTCCTTGGGCAAACTGCCCTTGCTTTAACTGCTGGTAGTATGGTGTTCAAATTGGACAAGCAGGACACAAAAGAAAGTGACTGCTGAACTTTGCTGAGACAAAGTGTGGCAGTTCTTAAAAATCCCTGTGTCACAGAAAACTCTTGTCAGATATCCTAGGCCTACAGGCTGAAGATGGATGTCCCAAAGCTAGAGGAACCTTGGGTGACTCTCCAGATATCCAACTGTTTCTGTCATTTCTTAGTTTTGGAAGTTGATTGCTTGGCCCTTTCTGTTTACTTCAGTAGTACTACACCTCAGGTCTCTGATGGGAGTCGGAGATTAGATAGTTATAGCTATTGTTTTCCTTGTTACCAAATTCAGAAAAGAAACTCACAATAGTGTGTAAGGTTGAGAGACATTAAAAGACAGTTTTGGTAATGCAAGTTAGAATAGAAAGTGAATTAGGTACAACCTTTTGGACTCCTCAAAATAGATAATGGAGGATTTTCTCTGAATTTGTCAAATGCAAATGGACAGGACATTATTAATGTAATTTTCACATGTACATATTTGTACATAGTTATTATATGTATTGTATATAGTTTTACTATGTTAGTTATAATTTTCCTTCTTTTTTAGACAAAAAAAAGGAAATGTGTGATATTCTGATCATGTTCTAACAAATAAAGCTTGTTGGGAGTGATAGGGCTGAGCTAGCCACAGATGGTCAAAATTAACCATAGAGGTTTTGGAGGACTGTAGACAGATTGGACAGGAAAGTAGTAAGGCGGGATAGAGAGGGATCTCAGCCCTTAGATGGAAGGAGTGGAGCAGGTAGGAGATTACTAGTAGCTTCTCTGCTTCTCTGATCCTTCAGGTTCTTACCCACTATCTAACTCCTGTATTCTTATTGATAAAGAATAATTAGGATAATGTTTCACCCACGATTCAGCTACAATAATCTTAGGACCCTACCCAGGAAATGAAACTCAAATGAAGGGACAGAACTAGGAGTAGGCATGGACTGTGGCTTTCTCCAGGGAAAGTGACTCTTCACTTGGATTCTTCCTACCTCTAGAAAGCTGAGAGACACTGTTGTCCTGGACCCTGAAATCAATTATCCATTTCTCACTGGATGGTTTTGGCCAGTGTGATATATTCAAGGAGCTGGCAGGAACAGGAGCGACAACTGCTTCCATCTCAAGAACCAAGTCTGATCATGATCCAAATACAAATCAAAAGTTGTGCTTTTACAAAGATTGTGTATTCTGGGAAAGTTAGAGATTAGTATGTAGGTAGGCAAAAAAAAAAAAAAAAAAAAAAAAAAAAAATACAGACACCAAGAGCTTATCCTCTGTCTCTCTAACAAATGGGCAAAACTGAAGGCCAGACATCTCAGAACAGGGAGAACATGGCAGAAGCAACGAGCAGTCTCTTGCATCTTCTCTGGGACAACCAATGAATTGGACACAAACAAGACACTCTAGGCTGTAAAAAAAAAATATGTATAATCATGTGCCAATTAACAATGGGACGAGTTCAGAAAAATGTGGGCCTGTCATTGTGAATATCATGGAATTTACTTATACAAACTCAATTAAGACATTACCAGGTGATCAAATCTTAAAGGATCACCAACATACAAACAAGCTAAAATGGTACTTTGTGTTAAGTGGCTGTATTAGTCTAGTATCTAGCTCTTTCAAATCTGTTCTCTATAGTCCCATCCACCATATATATTATATATACTCTGCCTTAAATAACTGAGTTGGGATTGCAACCTGTAAAGTTCCCTGGAAAAGCCGCACATATGGAATGGTTATAAAGACTTGGAATGTTGCAGATGGAGAGCCCAAATCATCTTGTGTTATCTTTAGTCCTCTTATTAGTCCTTTATCACCCACCCGACCTACGATCCTTTATAATGCATCAATTTAGGAAACTATTATCTTTTACTAACTTAGAAGCAAAGTATGTCACCAGAGAGGAACTAAAACCTATACCATGGGCGTGGAAAGATGGCTCAGTGATTTTAAGAATGCCTGCTCTTCTGGCAAAGGACCAAACTTTTGTTTCTTCTGAGCACCCACATAGGGTAGCTCACATGCCTATAACTGCAGTTTCAGGAGAGCCGATGCTTTCTTTTGACCTCCATGGGTGAGTTCATGCACATGCGCGCACACACACCCAAACGCATAAAGTAAATCTTAACCAAAACTAGTCCCATACCTTTTGTTTGCAGATTTTTCTCATCGGCTACCTTTACTTTAGGTCATACTTTTTTTTTTTTGGAGACAAAGTCTCTCATGTCAAGCTGTCCTCAAACTTGCTACCTGGATCATGGTGGCTAATAACATGATACAGGAACTCATTTCTTAAGTGTTTTTTTTTTTTTTAAATAACAATAAAACCCAACTGTTACTCTGAGGCTGAAAGACTGGTAGGGGTGATAAATTTATCTTGGCTTCCCGCCCTCCCCGCAAGACAGGGATTCTCTGTGTAGCCCTGGCTGTCTTGAAACTCAGTCTGTAGACCAGACTGGCCTGTGACTCAGAGATCCAGAGAGCTGGGATTAAAGGCATGCACCACCACTGCCCCTCCATCTTCCATCAGCCTTAATAGCCATTTATCTCTCACCTCTGTTATCTAACAGCCTTTAAATCATCAGGTAAAGCCTTTGGAAGACATTAACGTATACTATTGGCTTCCACGAACCTGAAAGCGAAGACTATAATCACACAGCATCTAAACCTCCCAGCAGGTATCTCCCCAATTCTGCTGTAGCCTGCCTACATCTCACGTTACCTTTGGGGAGTTTCGTTTTTATGTTGACACACCTGCTCAGAGGGAAGAGAAAGGCAAGCATCCAAATTCTGGCTCTTCCGTAACTAATTGTGCGACCTTGAGCAGAGGACTTAGGCTACCTGTGCCCGCAGCCTGGGCTAACTCAATACAGGAAACCGGGATCATTTTCTAGGAAAAGGACAAGGTCAAAGCAGCCATAAGCCTGAGAACTAAAGCTGCGCGGCAATCGCGATTTACTCTTCAAGACCGCCCTTATTTAGGCGGACCTGAATCCGGGGCTTAACTTACTGGCCGACAGCCTGCCAGGTCTTTCTGGCTTTCTCGCTCGGCCGCAAGAATCCTTTCCCACCGCTGAGGCGCACGCGGGCCTGCCTGAGCCACGGGCGGGTGCCGGCGCCCCCCGAGTGATGCGAAAGTGCGGGGCGCGCGGACCCCGCTTCCTCGGGTTCCCTGGGGCCGTCACTACAGGCCGGAGGCTGTCGTCTCCCCGTGACCCGCTCCGTCAGGCGCACGACTTCGCGGACGCGCGGCCGGACAGCACGACCGTCCCGGGGCGGCCTGCGCAGGCGCACTGTTCCACTGCGCCTGCGCCGCTCGTCGCTCTCCGGTCCGGCCGCTGGATCCCGGGTCGAGGGGAGACGGCAGCCGTCGAGGGTCGCGGCCCCGCCCGCCCTGCCTTGAGGCCCTCAGCCCCCCTCACCAGTCGCCGGGGGCAGCTCCGAGCCGCGTTCACCTCAACGCGCTGCAGACGGTGCAGGGCTCAGCATGCGGAGGAAGGGGCGGGTGCAGCGCGGGGCGGGGCCAGAAGACAGCATGCTGATTGGCCTGCTCTGCCTGCAGGGTCACCACAGCGCTGTTGCTGGTTGCTGGGGGCGTCGATCCCGCGCAAGCGCACTATTGACCTGACCTGGCGGAGGGCGAAGTTAGCACAGCACGGCGACCTGTTGACCGCGACACCTGCTAACCTGCTTCCCTTTCGGGTGTCTGCACGTGGGTCCCTTCCTGCCACTCAGAAGAAAGGGTGCCGAGCCCAGGGCCACCTGGAGACGGGTCAGGGCCGTAGCAGGTTACCCGAGGGAGGACGGTCGCCCTAATCTGTCACCAAGTTTCTTTCTTCCTACACAGCGAGGCCAGACCGGATGTCCACTATCTTGATTAATCTTTCCTATAGATTAATGACCTGCCCAAGAGCACCGCCAGGGACAGCGGTACTCCTGTTTTGCTGGCTAGCTGCCTCAGGCTGAGACCAGTGCGAGCGGAGACGGCTCCCAACACTGCAGAGCACAGGGGTCCAACTCACGAATGCGTGCAGCCTAGGACGCCTAGAAAGCGGATCAACCCCAATCCGGAACCTGCTGGGGAATTAGCCCAGGTGGCAGACTGTTGGATTAGCCAAGTCCCGGAATTTCTTTACCAGCACCACATAAAAACGGATTGGTCGTACGCAGGCTTGAAAATTCGAGCACACCAAAAGTGGACGCAGGAGGATCAGAATTCAGTCATCCCTTGCCTCTGCAATTCCTAGCCAGCATAGGCTACCCGAGAATCTGTGATGGTTACTTTTGTCAATTCGATAGGACATAACGTCACCTGAGAAGGCAGTCTCAACGAGGTCTTATATGGATTGGGTTGACCCGTGGGCAAACCTGTGAGACATTTTCACAGAGGTTGGGTTCTGCACTGTGCAGGTTTTGAGAGACGACTATGAGAAAGCTTGATGCATCCTTTCTCTTTGGTCATGGCTGTGCGTATAGGGCAATCAATTAAGTTCCTGCTGCTCTGCCTCCTCCGCAGTAATGGCACTATATAGAACCCAGAGTTGTCCGCTAAAATAAAGTTTTGTTCCATTTAGTTGCTCTTTGTCAGGGTGTATTACCACAGTATCAGATGTGAAAAGAGGACTCAGTTGAAATAACAAAATGTAGCTTAAAAGTTTTTTTTTTGTGTGTGTGTGTGTGATTTCTTTTGTAGCGTCTTCAGTTTACTTTTTAGACAACAGATTGAAATGTCGCACAACATAAAAATATGGCTTTGTTTGTCTGTACGTGTGGGCTCAGTTTTATGGTGGTTTCCAGGGTGTTATCTTCTAGACTGAAACTGGCACCACCAGATGCTACATATGCTTGTGGTGACTTGAGTGAAAGGCATCGATTATTGGGGTTTGAACTCTTATTGCAGAACAGGCAGGCTTTGGTTTGGGATGGTCTCACTATGTAGCCCTGGCTGGTCTGGAACTCGATATGCAGACTAGTGTGACTCCAAACTCACTACCTGCCTCCGCCACAGCAAAATAAATAAAAATTAAGCAGAACTCCAGAGACAAACTACATATGGAGGATGCCCGTCCAGCAAACAATGAATGGACAGTGGCTACGTTTTGGTTGAGGTGCTAGGCTTAATTTGCAGGGAATTCGTGTACGTTTTCTAAGACTGTGACTTGAAAGGCATTATATACAAACAAACTGCCCAATCAGGTGCTTATCAAGGGATATATGGTAAGGAAAAACAACTGGAAAACTTCATTTTGGTACACCATCCTTCTCTTTTCAGTTACTACATTACCTGCCACTTTTCAAATGGAATGCAGATTTGCAATCTGACATCCAAGTTAAAGGAAAATCTGATTGTGTCTGATGTTTATAGACACACCCACCCCTCACCTTATGTCAGCAGCTACAGATGAGCAACTATTTTCAAGAATGAAGCACAATTAAGAGTGAAGTTAGAACAAAAATCTGAATACCTGTGAACTGAAACTACTTCCTTCCACTGAACCAGATATTTATGTTAGCTCTTCAAATGTACCACTGAGCTTTAGTTATCAGTGACTGCAAATCGGGGACCTGCCCAGAGATTGTAAGACTCTCTGAACAGAGTGCTGCATAAGTAGAATCAGTATGCAAAACATTTTGTTTATATATGCTCATAGAGATTATCAAAATTGTACATAGACACCCCCATTTTGCTAGTGTTGTGTTTTCTGGGTGGCCCCAAATGATAGCTCTTGTCTAATGTGGGCCAGAGCAGACAAAATGTTAAATTCCAGCTGTAAAGCTTGCTGAGTGGAGCAGGGCAAGAATTCTAGGAAATGGAGTGGGTAAACATTTTGGGAGAGTTCACAAATCATGTGACCCCTCTTTTTCTGTAGGTTGAGATGTGAACCCAGACCCTTAAATATGCTTGTCAAATGCTCTACCACAGAGCTACATGCCCAGCTACTCACGAGCTTTTCCTGGTGCCAGGGTGTCTGCACATGGCTGGCTAATAGAATATAAATAGAATATCACAGGCCCTATCCATACCCAAGAGTGAGAGTATCCCTCAGTGGGAATGGCAGAACCAGCTGTATCCTGTGAAGCCTGTGAATGGAGAAGGCTTGCTGTTACTACTGTGTAAAGGTGGAATTCAGTTTATTCAGCATGTTATTATATCACTAAATATGTTTCCCATTATGTGTTTCAATTTCGGTCACATGCAAAACATGTCTGCTCCTGTTTCAATTCTTTTCCAAGTAACTTCATAGTGGTCAGCTGAGTTTCCAGAGATGGAGAGAACCGAGTACAGCAAAGTGAAATATAGTAATTTAGAACTAGAACAGAAAGAATGGACTGAGTCCTGAATTACAGAATGAAGGTTTTTATTAATCTCGTTATTAATGGGAAAGTACATCAAAATAGCTTTCAGGAAATTAAAGAAGATAAGCAAAAACTTACAAATAACATTAACAATACAAGTGATTCTAATGCCTTGACAATTATCTTTTAAATTAAGCTAGACAGTAATCTTTTCAAGAAAGGTTTTTATTTTTAACTATGTCTATGTGTGTGGTTATGTGTATGTGCACTGACTCCCCCAAGGCTATAATTGTGAGCTTCCTGACAGGTTGCTAAGAACTGAATTCATTCTCAAAGAACAGCATGCTACTCTTAATTGCTGAGCCATCTCTCTAGCTCTTATTAGTAATAAACTTAATAAAAAATGATTGGGGTTCCTGCTGCTTATCAAGTTTGGTCAACTTCAAGGTGTCAAACACTTATTCCTACAGAAAGACTAATGTTTCTTTTTACACTTTTGTAAGTAAACTGACTACGAAGAACGGTCAGTAGCACAGAAGCACCATGGACTGGTACAGAGCAAGGATGAAACACTGATCCGGTATTTAAAGATCTGCCCCTTTGAAAACAAAACTCACAAGTTCATGATGTCTTAGTCTTTAAGGATGAAATCAGGCAAACAGTAATGTTAGGGGTAAAATAATGTCTATACTAATGCTTACAGAGCTGAGGCAGAGGGTCATGGCACTTCCAGGCCCAGAATACAGTGAAACCATTTGAAAAAAATTTCTTCACAACCTGCTGCTGCTGCTAGCCCTCTATGGTCCTTTTTTTGCCCCTGGCCTGACATAGATATCTTCTATTTCTCTCTTTTTAAATTTATATTCTTAAAATTTTAAAAATGCATGTATATATGTAT